CAATCTGATCTTATTGTTTCAATTCTATATCTTGTTGTATGTCAAAACTATAACTTTTAGAGTTCGGAGTTTCTGTTCTTTGACTAATGCTTATATTATGAACATTTATAACGAGTTTTTAATTAATTGTTTTCATAAACTTTCTATTTTAATTTAGTTTTGGAATTCTTCTGTTGGAACTTGCAAATGAAAAACTTCCATATGAAGAATGTGATGGAGATTTCGATAAAATAACAGTATCAATCCTTTATAATAACGACAACAAGTGGAACTTTAATAATGCTATGCCAAAAGAATACATAAATATTAGTAAAAAAGGTAAATAATAATTTTGTTCTTTTAGTGACAAGATTAATGCTGTAGGTAATTCAGATTAAATGAAATTTAACATATTTTAATTTAAATATAATGTATTAAGGTAGTTTTTTTTTATGAAATTGATTTATATAGTCGTATTAAAAAAGGCCAATTTTTATTTTCAATTTGATCTGTCACATTTAATATTGATCATTAATGTTTTTATTTCTCATTTAGCGCTTAGATTTACTCCAGAACATCGCCCAACAATCTGTGAAATGTATAATGTTCTATTTAATCTAGCATCTACTGGATAGTGATAAGCAAATAATTTTTGAAGAACTACATTATCTCAATTTTCTATTACTTCTTTTAACGCATTATTATTCATAGTCTTATTTCATTTAGTTAATATTTCTATTATTATTATAAATGTTAAGGGAAAGTTCTTACTTACATAGAAATGATCGTGCAATAGAAGTCGTATAGATGTTGATAGAAGCAGTACACTCTTTGAACTCTTAAATAAAAGATTATTTATCATAAATCGTTCCTATTAATAAAATTGTCTATTTAATTGCCACTTCCCTGATGTTCTCCAAACCGAATTAACACCGGCGAACAGAATCCTAACAAACAAAATCCTGACAAAAATTGACTGGAATTATAGCTAATGCAGGGCTAACTTTTGGGATTTTGCCCTTTCCGGAATTTTGTTCTGACCCAAAACCATTAGAGTAAAAAAAGTCACATGTGCGTGAAGAATTCTTCACTCCGATCGCTTTTATCAAAAATCATATATAATATTAATACATTAAAA